TTGTTAAGCATTTAAAACATTCATACTTATGCTCATCGCTTGATACCTATCAGAAGCTTGATTTTTGCATAGCTGTTAAGTGTTTTATTTCTGCAATAAAATTTGGCGTTGCACGCCTGGACATTGAACATTTCCTTTAATAAACCTTATTTTAAAAAAAAAGTATACATACCTTTCAAATTGAAAAGTTTCAACAACGTATACTAGTATTTTACTGAAATAATACATCAAATTTAAGCGCATTATTATCATTACAAAATAAAATAAATTTTATAGGGCATACTCTCGTTTTAACTGAAATAAGATGCGGATTAAATAAAGTAAGCAAGTTTTGATAATTAAAACTATATACAAACAGAATACCTTGTTAAATTGGTTGTCTTCTTGATCGTTTGATTGCTCCGCAATTTTACTTTATATGTGTGATTTTCGCCCTATGACTGATCCGTTATTTTAATTTATATACTGATTTTCATCCTATATGACTGCTTTGCCATTTTACTTTATATGTACTGATTTTCATCCTCTGCCGACCGGTCACATCCGCCGTGTGCTCATTATTATGATTGGGCAAACGGAAAAATCCGTAGACTATTCAGTGTATAAAATGGCCTAACATTTTGTATGAAAAACGTCATTCGACTTAATGATAGGTTGTATTTGCTGACAAGGTCATTGTATCGACCATAAAATTTGCTATATGTTGACTTTAAATGAGGCTGTTGATATTCTTGTTTCATCAACTTATTTGTCAATGGCTTGCCTCGTTTTAGAAATTGTTCGTACGTAGAGCATGCCCTTGCATATCGAATCAACTGGAAGATATAAAATCCATATGTAGGTGATAATGGTATATTGCTACATAAATAAGGGAAGTTGACAATAGAAAAGTTACAGTCATCAGATTTATCATAAAGCTTTGTTGTTAGATTACCATTAACGTCTCTTTCTGGTAAAATACAAAAATATGAAACAGATGTGACAGACTCTGTGATATCTTTTTTTCGAGTTCAAAGTGATATATCGAAACAACGTATCGTGGAAAATTGATATTGTTAATTGATACAACGTCGTCAATATATCTAGATATTGATTTGAAGGCCACACAATAGACTTTTATATGTACTGATTTTCATCCCATGAAAGCACCTTAATTTAACTTTATGTATCTTAATTATACCTTATGTATACTGATTAACATCTGAGCTCTATCTAAAATGAAAAAGAATTCCAATTTTATCACTAATCCATATAACAAAGGTGTGGTCTGACCTTGCTTTGAATTAAATAAAATTTTGATAACACATTATACATACTACATCGGATCTATAGCTTTTGAGCATTTCTCTGATATGAAGTGAAACACTGGCATTTAGGTTAATATAGAGAAGCCGTGATCTTTATCTTAGATCTAATGGATATCATAATGTCATGTCTAGGATATGTTTTTTTTCCCGATCAAAGGCCATATACAATTTCCTAACAGAAAATCTAGTCGTATTTTTTTTAAGAAGATCAATACTCAATTACATTTTCCATCATAAATATTGATATTTTTAATAAGATTCGGCCCTGAAGATGATACAGTATCTTTAATAGTAAGTAATTATCCAAATACGGAAAATATGTTATGAATTTGTCTCCAAACTCATGTTTCGAAAGCTATAAAAGAATGAAGACTTGAAATTTTTGGAATTGGTGCGGTAGTGAATATTTGGAGGTTGAAAACCTATTTTAAAAAAGATATAAATGTAAAATCGTATACAGTACCAATTTTGATGCACCAGATGCGCATTTCGACAAATTATGTCTGATGCTCATGCCGAAACTTGGAAATCCGAAATATTAAAATAAAATATTCCAGTTGCACATTTCGACAAATTGTGTCTGATGCTCATGCCGAAACGTTGGAAATAAAATCAAATAAACAACAATTAGAATATTATTATCTTTATCTATATAAATAGTTAATTCCATATTTCTATTTGTTAGATTTTTTATTGATAGCAAATCTCTGAGCTGACAACTTTGTCGGTAACGTTTTCGTCATTTGTGTAAAAATTATCTTCTGCTAGTTAACACCGACACATGACGGCACCATATATCACATTTAAGGAGACAAATTCTTTTCTAAAGTACACAATGTATGGCCAGGAAAATTGCGCTCGTTTGCTTCACTCTCACCATTGGCCTATTTAATCAGAATTTTAATAATTTCATTTCGAGTCACTAAGTGTAGAATATCAAGAATTTTGCTTGATTTGATATATATACATTGTCACATTAATATATTCTCTGTTTACATTTTCTTAATTATTCAATTTGTAGTTTAAAAAAAAGAACCTGAAGTCAATTTAAATGTTGATTACCTTTTCATTATTACTATTTCAAAGTTTTACCACTCTACCTTATTATAATAATTCTATAAAATACATTGCGTGATTGGTTTAATTAATCACGTGATCGTCTTTTTATTACAGATCTCTATACTACAGTATATAAATGGTTGAATCACTTAGAAGATTGTGATAACGTCACGAAAAAGACAGTATATTGAAATCATTTTTTTTAAAATTTTGCATACATATTTATTTTTGACAGATATACTTGACGCATGAACATCCTTATTCATTCTTCGGGGGTAATCATTAGCGATCCTAGATATTGTTGAGTAAAGAATTGTTAAGATTTGTATTGTTGAGAAAATTATACAAACTGTGTTCAAATGCACTCAATTTGGGGAAAAAAAATATAGAAGGCAACGAGTCTACTCTCCAAACCAAAAATGTAGAATTTACTTTCTTTTTTTAGATTCCAAATTAACGTTTAGTCTAATTCATTAAAAGCAATTTCTCGATATCTTCTTTTGTTAATTATAAGTTATCTCTGTATCATTTTTTTTTCTTATTAGGAAATAAATATATCTCTTTCCACTAGAAAGAAAAAAATCCATTAATCAAAAAAAAAAAAAAAAAAAAAAAAAAAAAAAAAAAAAAAAAAAGTGTTTATTAAGTTTCCTCATCTAGAGCAATCAAATTTCTAAGAATTCATACAGGAAATATATTAAAAGCTGAAGCCATTCATACATATAATGATAAATTGTGGTAATTGTGTAAGTGCATGAAAATGCAATATATAACTGATATATCGTTGCTTAATGTACCGAATAAAATACATTTATCCCTGATTAGTACATGTATTTGTGTAAAAAATATTACTGTTCTTGTTACTTTTGTCAGCACATGTAAGGAAATGTACATTTGGCACTAAAAACGTTGTAGGTTAAGTGAGAAAACATAAGAAAAACGACAGGTGACATATAAAATATATCAAAGCTCTCCGAGGGCAGTTAGTTAAGCCGTGCTTAAGGAAGTCAAGGAATGTGAAAAAAAAATTACAAAAATATTACAAAAGCGAAAATGTAGTTAAAAGGAGTCCAAGGTTCTCTTCAAGCTAGAAGGTGGATCTCAATATTGATATGCTATACTGTCCAAATACGGTCTCGGGATATCGTAACTCCGACCATTCTTCTCTGTAAGATGTACTGATTGAAAGTTATGTTGGCTAGAAGGAAAAGATCTTGTACTTTTGTATATTTATCAATTATCAGCTATTGTATATTTGAGTTATTGCTACATTATAATTACAACTTAAGAAGAGGTAGGCAAATGATAATAAGTTAGTCACGATATATTCATATATGAGACCAATTTGAATGTTTTGAAATGCTGCAATTTACTCATCTCTGGTAAATGGGCATACAAAGTATTTTAGAAATGAACAATTCTAAGGAAATATATTATGTTCTGAATAATTTTACAATATATTTTATTTGTTTTATCGGTCACCATTTTTAATTACTAATATATGTTTTTGCAAGGATAATGAATCAATCTTTTCCTGAGTCGAATTAAATGGCGTTCACTAAAATATCACATTTAAAATATACGCCCGGATATCTAAAGACATTTAGCCCGATATAAAATTAAATTGGTTGGTTGAATAAAAATAATATGAGCTCTCAAAAAGACATGTAACATGTAAATCACCAATATGTTTATTTTTCTAAATCGTACACAAATTAATGTTTTACAATATTTCAATCACAAAAGGAACATCTTTAATTTTTATCTTGAAATTAAATTATTAACATTATGCTGAAAAACAGATGTGATATGACAAGGTCTGAGAGCAAATTTATATCTTAAGTATTATATGAATTTAAAAAAAAATATAAAGGAATATCCTGTTGTAAAGCAATCAGTATTTTGAACTCCTGATATTACTGGTATCTGTCAAAAAGGGTGCTGTTACGATCTGCTTGCTTTTGTTTTAAAGCCTAAGCCACACAGATCGAGAAGAGAATTTTAATTTATCATTGACATAAAAAGAAATAATGCACGATGATAAATTGTTTAGAAGATTTTTAGTTAGTTAATGAGTCTTTTTTGTATTAATAAAATTATTATGATTTGAATCTTAATTATTTTATAGAATAATTGTTGCAGTAAATTAGAGTGACAATATTCCATTCAAGTTTTCTGACTGAGACTAATTTGTTTTCAGATGAACTCTGTAGAAAATTTTACATGCGTTGAAGATTTTTTAAAGTCTAAGAAATCCTATATAGATCACTGGATGAAATAGTACCCCAATCTAGATCTTTTTTTTGTCACCGTTTGCTTTGATATTATTAAGAGTACCCCAATCTCGATCTTTCTGTGTATCACTGTTTGGTTTTATCATTATTGTCAACTTGTATTTTTCCATTGAATTCATCGTTTTCATATATCCAATATCTTTCTCACTTTCTAGAGTTTTTTGGAAAAGAGTATATAAAGTATTATTTATTAGATATCAATAAGCATAATTCAGAGAACACATGAATAAAGTTATCTACATAATTTTTGCCATCAAATGACCACAAAAAGGAGAAGGTACGAATTTCCTGAATGTTTTGATCTCCAGAACGAGTTTTTAAAATTATAAAAAAATAAGTATAAGATTTAGTTTTTTATTACCCATACATCATAAACTTTTTAACATATATAACAGTAAGACGAAGTTATCCAAAAATGTTACAGAGACGTACAGACATAAAAAAGACTAATTCTCCTAGTGTTCTACTGAGCATTCTCTTTGTAATTAATGACGAAATATTAACAAAATCTCATTACATTGTAATGAAATCAAACAAAAATAAGCAACACACAATAACTTAATGAGTGATATACATACATGAAAACCAATATTAAAGTCCTGAGGTAAAAATCAAATGGATTTCAAGAAGTAAAGAGGTCATCGGACCCCCTGAGGTTTGTCACTGGTAGAAGGTGAATATCAGATGTTATCATACGATCGCAATAGTGGGTCCCTGTTGTTTCTCTATTTGACAGTATCTCCCACTGTACCCCCACATACAGAGGCACATCTCCTCCCCTGTGATCCTGTCACTGTGACATTGGCCGCCATTTTTGCAGTCCATTCTGCATGGAGTATCACAAAAATCCCCTGTCCATTGTGGGGGACACTCACATCTTACTGTTAACCCGCCATGCATACTGGGAGCAACCACACAGGATCCGCCGTTGTTGCAGTGGAAGTTTTTAAACTGTTTGCATCTGTTTGGCTTCCCTACCTCCGTATCTTTTACAATGTCTATTTCATTACATAGCTTCCCTTTGTACCCTTTATGACACACACAATTGAACATGTCATTTTTAAAAGTGCAATCACCATTGACACATCCGAAAAGTTTACAGAGAGGTTTTGATGTGCCTGTTGCTCGTCTTTGTCTCCTGGAAACACGCTGTAGCAATGAGCGTGCAAGAGGAGACATAGAAAGAACTGATGAGACGACACTCAGGAGAACCAGCACGTCCAGTGAGAACTGCATGTTGTCAAACAATGATGTTTACGTCGAATCTATCGCGATTTTATGACACGCAGAGGACTACGTCAGAGAGCGATCCTATTTCCGTGGTCAGAGTCCCAGACCTTGCTAAGAGAGTTTAGAACTAATAGTTGCGCGCCCTTTGCCAACGTATATGCTTGTCATCGTAGTAAAACCAGGAAACAAAGGCCGGGATGGGACTTTAAATATAGTAGGAGGCCAGCTCGCGGCCTATCGCTCGCGGCGACAGTTTGATGCATAACATTCTTAATTTCCATATGTTCAAGTTATTTTTCCACATTGTGTAGATGTTTTACATAACACAGGTATTAAGTAAGTAAAGTCTGATCGGGAGAGAAAATTGACTTGACATATAACATAATTGTCAAACTCTTCACGCGAATGGTTAAATGACAGGCATAAAAAAATAACATTTTCCATTTTTTAGTTAATTAACTTTTCCTATTAAATAACATGTGACTTGGAAGGCGTGCTTATCATGCATAGACTAATCAGTAGAGAGCATTTTATTCGATTACAAATAAACAAAACCCAAATTATGTAACAGAACCTCATGGTACCGAGACCATTACAAAGAATGGTCAGACTGTTGGACGAACTTCTAACCCTCCAATCGCAGATATTCTGAAAATGTCAAGGCTACCAAAACAGAAATTCTACAAAAAAGAAGTTTATTTTTCGGTTACTGGAGATAAATTGCCTTACAGATAAATGAATACCTATTATTCATTGTCATTTCAATCGAGCTGAACCAATTATGTCCAGGGCCTTAATTTATGCATACACTTCATCCAGTTGATCACACGATATTATTGCTTTTGGATTTCATTAATCTTCTTTAGGTTTCAGGTTTCTTGAAACGCGCGAATCAGAGTTGGACTATTGTTATTAATATAAATTCTGCGATGATTAATATTTATTTAAGCTGGTATAAACAAGGTTTTAGGGGTATTAAATTAAAATTCCGATGCAAACCAAGTGTAAAATGAAAATATGGTATTCAAATTAATTGAAATATTTAAAAAGATTCATTACATGATTAAGAAATTTAGAATTTTATATTCCAATCTTTTTCATTGTATTTCATGTTTACTCCATAAGACTCTTCTTTAAGTGTTAAAGAAAAAAAAGTCAAATGATTCTTATTTATTGGCGTGAGATGTGTGTATTTTGAAAAATAATAAAAGTGATCCGAGTATTTCTTTGAAATTTGAACTAAGTCTAAACAATTATTTTAATTCAGTGGTAGAAAGCTTATTTCAAATGCATATTTTATTTTTTTATGATTTGAAGTAAATTATTTTGCGTTTCAATTGAAAGAAATTAGAAAGATGTACCCGTTTCAGAAAAAAAAAATAATCAGAATAACCTGGAATATTTTTTCTTTACTTTTAATATTAATAAAATCAACATGTTACTGACATCATATTTGATAAATCTCTAAAGTCTATAATAGGCAAGACGTTTTTAATTTCTGACTTTTTAAAGAGAGATCTTTGAAAGAATGTAATAACATTATACAGAAATGCGTAAAGATATATGGGAAAGAAAATACGTAAACACACGTTGTAGCTGTTATTTGCAAAGCTAATTAGTATTTTTCGGGACACAATTATTAATATATATGATGTTTAAAAAAAAAAGCTTTCTAAAAAAATAAATTTAGTAATTTAATGATAAAAAGATTCCATTTTTCTGTGTATTATAAAATAAAGAGAAAAATCACCATCAATTTTTACAATGTGATTACATTAACCTGTACAATTTTGCAAGAGAATTTTATATTTTGAACGGTAAGAGGTGAAGAAAACTAACAGTGATCGATCTCATAAATCCACTGAACAAAGAAATCGTGAACAGTGAAACAATCATATCTAAAAAAAAAGATAACATGTTTCTCCCTGTTTCCCTATTTTCTTTACATTAATATTTAGAAATCAGAATTTGGTGTTAATAATTAATTCTTTTCTTGACATCCTTTATCATTTCAAAAATCTTGAAATGCAGTTTTTTAAAATAATGTATTCATCTATTTCAATTTTAAGGAACATCTTCGTGCTAGATTCAAAATGAAGAGTCGTTTGTACGGCAATATACCATGCTTCTATTGTAATTAAACCTGTTATGTAAATACCTAATGTTGAATGGAATTGACAAATATTGCATAAACTGCCAATTGAAGATTTAAAAGAAAAGCATCATGTGAGTTTATTTAAACATTATCTTAATTAAAGATTTCTGTATTTACTTTATAATTCTCATACTGTTGGTCAATAAAAATTAAAACAGTTATGATTGGTAGGGTATTGCATATATCGATACGATCTTTTTACTACATCGGCTATTTGCAAAGATCTCTATTTATGATGTTAACGTTGTGTTGCAGCGTAAAGCTGACATAAATATAAATAAAGAGAAAAGCAATCAACAAATTTCTGAATAAGATGCTTCAAAGAAATATAAATTATTCGAATCTATCCCTTTCTCTCATCAAAATTAGATTAATTCCAATTTTGGACACAATGAAGACAAAGGAGACATATGTCCTTTAAGGATGGAAATAGATATGGTATTCAGATCTAAAAATAACAACTAGGTAACTGTGTCTTTTCATCGTTACATTCAACCGTATTCATGTCAATCATTAACTTAAATGAACTAATTTTCAACTTCGAATTAACTTTCAAAATGAGAGGACAAACATGGTCTTGCATTTTGAACAATCAACTTACTGGGACATTAGAAGGCATGGTACTATTTAAATGACATTAATTTCATGTATGCGTAACAGAGTGGTACCATCATCAGTAAATAATCTATTTAATTAGCCTTCGGATAGAAAACAGATTTCAAAGGATGAGAACTAAAGATGAACATAACATTATCTATAAAATTGGTGAATTTTCGTCACGAACTGGAATGAAAACATATTTCTCAATTCAAGGTCACTGTAAATCAAGGTCGGCTGACCAAAAATGACTCTAATAATTAGACTGTTAAATTCTAAGATTATTTCTTAGAATTATTATCTACAGGTATTTATTTATACTGAAATTGTATTCATTGAATCTATTTGGATAGTTCAAATATATATTATATATTTCCTGACATTAACAATCTAGTAAAACCATTAATTATATCAGGCCAAATACTTTTTTAAATTCCCAAACCTTCCTCGATTATCTTTTTCTCTCACTTTGACGCACATTTTTTTTGCTTTCAAAACTGTTTTCTCCTTTGGTTTTTTTTAATTATTATTTTGCATATCGCTGTATATATATTTAGATTGTACAAGCTGAAGATATCAGTGACCAATCTCATAAATCTACTAAACAAAACGAAATTACATATGAAAAAGAAAATACGGACGCTGGAAACAAAGAGGTGGGATCAGGTACCTAAGAGGAGTAAGCATTCCCTCTCGACCGCTCACACCCAACGCAAGCCCTATCTTTTATTAGGTATTCGGAGTACTCCGTAGTCAGATTTAGTGTAAAAGGAATGGCCTAACAATTGGTATGGATTGATTGATTATAAGTTGTTTTTACGTCCCAGTCGAGATTTTCTTACTCAGATAGAGACATCACCATACACTGGTGAAGGGCTTCACATTTAGACCTATATTTTGCACTCAAGGCCATTGAGCAGTCAGGATTCTTTATCGAGCCATCGCCTACCGTGACACTGGACCTCGATTTTAAGATCTCATTCGAAAGACCCGTGACTTTCAAATCTAATGCCGGGCGCTTGGCAAAAGAGCAGTCACTACCAGTGTTTTCGTCTTATGTCTGACGCCGCACGGCAAACGAGAATTGAACCCAGGCTTCAAGATCTCGAAGCGAACGTCCACAAGGCTACCGTGACCGGTCAATTGGTTTGGAACATGTCAGTCATAATGCAACCCAACAATAGGTTCTATTTTCAAACAAGTACATAATAACGACGGTAGAAAGATTACTTTACACGGAATTGTTGAATTCCTTGTAACATCCTTTGTAACATAAACTTATTTGTCAGTAGCTTGCCTCGGATTAAAAATCTTGCGTAGTCATACCATGCTCTTGCGTATCAAATAAGTTGGGAGACATAAACACCATATGCAGGTGATGTTGGAATATTACTAAATAAATAAGGTAGGTAAGTTGACGATGGAAAAGCTGAAAGCATCCCGTTTGTCTTACAGTTTAGTCATTAGTTGACCATTATCGTGTATAGTCAGTAAAACATCTAATTATGAAACAAATGTGGCAGACTTTGTAGTTGTTCTTTTTTATTGCGAGTTCTCTCGGATATTTTCTAGTCGATAAATGAAAGAAAATAACTACTTTTAATTGATGTAAATCATATACAGTACCAATTTTAATGCATCAGATGCGCATTTCGTCAAATTATGTCTCTTCAGTGATGCTCTTGCCGAAGCGTTGGAAATCCGAAATATTTGATTTAAAAAGACTTTGAAGAGCTGAAAAATGGGGTGTCAAAGACTGGAGCCAAATACGTCGAAGCTATGCATGAGGGAGATAATCCATAATTTTGAAATAAATTTCTAAATTTTGCCACAGCAATTAAATATATATCTATTTTCAAGCTAGTACCGAAGTACTTAGATACTGGGCCGTAGAGACCTTCGGGGACTAACAGTCCACCAGCAGAGGCCTCGACTCAGGGGTCATAATGTAAATCATATACGGTACCAATTTGTGGTACCAAACGTCGTCGATACATCTAAAATATTGAATTGATGGTTACAGCAAGAGTTTTCTCGTGTAGAAGTGTTTGAGTAAATTCTGCTTCATAGGAATATAAAAACAGGTCGGCAAATAAAGGTGTACAATTAGTACCTATGTAAATTAACAGTTTGTTGGAAGACCTGGTTTCCAAAGACTAAATAGATATTGTCAATTAGGAACTCCAGCATCAGGGTTAGGGTTTAATATCAACTTCAGTATACATGTGCGTAGAAACAGAATTAATTTAACAAATTAATTTTGAAGATGACCAATCACAAGATATAAAAATTTGCGAGGTCCATTTTTATTGAGGAGGCAGGTTTTTTATGATGCCAAAATCCTGCTCTTTAATCTATTGTGAGGAATGGTTGTAGAAAAATCTTTTGTTTAGATGCTAAAAGTTTTCAGATTTAAAATTTTCTAAAAG